TCTCGAAAACAGCTTCTCTGTCCTGCTGGTTCCAGGTAGGATCCTGAGCAACACTGGCTGACCTTGACTGTCATGTCTAGTTAGCAGGTTGTCCTTGGCCATTTCTGTCTCCTATGCAAGGGGGACATGGCTGCCAATGTTGGATGGGACTTGATAGAAGCAAGTGGTAGTAGCTGAAAGAGCCAGTGTAAAACAGAAATAGCAGACTTCTTTTACTTTGGCCAAGAAGTAGCTGTTTGTCTCCTGGGGCAGAAGGCTCTGGGAGGAGCAGAAGGAAACAGAGGGTTTGGGTAGTCCTAAGTGCCACTAGGCATTTAGGACTATTTAAACAAGTGTTTAATTATGTGTGGAGGGTGCTAGGGGAGGGGAGGAGTCTATGGAGGCCAGGAGAGGGCATCAGATCCCCCTGAGCTGGAGTTACAGGTGATCGTGGGCCACCCGAGGTGGGTGCCAGGACCCAAAATCAGCACTAGGTGCTTTTTTGTTTTTTGGGACAGTGTTTCTCTGTGTCCAGAGCTGTGGCTGTCCTAGAACTCATTCTGTAGACTGGCCTCAAACTCATAGATCTGCCTGCCTGTGCCTCCCAAGTGCTGGGATTAAAGGTGCGTTCCGCTATGTCTGACAAGTAGTACATGCTTTTAACCGCTGAGCCATCTGTCCAGCCTGTGAGTGTTTTAAAAATTATTTTATGTGTGTGGGCTTTGCCGTATGCATGTCATGGCATCATGTGCACGCTGTGTCCTTGGAGGTCAGAGAGGGCATCAGTCATCTGAAACTGGAGTGATTGACCGTCGTGAGTCACAATGAAGGGCTGGAAACAAACCGGGGTCTCTCCAGGCCCTTAATGGACTCAGGCTTTCCAAAGGTTCGCTTGGTTGTTCGGTTTGTTTGGAACAGGACCTTGCTATGTAGTACAGGTTGCCGTCAAACCCGAGATCCTCCTGCCTCAGCCTTCCGAGTGCTGGGACTATAGGCGAGTGGCACCATGCGTACTATCTGAGCTCCGCTAACGAGCGGGAAGCCTTGGGAGTGCCACACGTGAGGATGCATCCTGGCCACCTGTGTCTCCCACGCCAAGCAAGGCAGATGGAACACATCTTCACCCTTGCAGAGTTCTCTTTGGAGGAGCTGGTTTGGACTGGCTGTGTGTCACATTGTCAAAGTCGTTGTTTACCCAGCAGATATTTATGGGGTGCCCACTGAGTAAGCAGGCTCCCTGTGGGAAGTAGGAGACTCCTGGGCTGCATCCCCACCCCATCTCCCCTTCAGTGGCTGCAGCAGGGGCGGGGGGGTGTGTGAGGGGTGGAGGTGGAGTAGGTGGCTGAGCAGGAAGACCTATGGTGGGGAAGATGGGCCATTGGATCTGGGCTGCTTCTCCCTCTTGGTCCCCTTCCACACTGACCCGGAAGGGTGCTAATGTGGCAAGTTCACGTTGTATACTCTGTAAACCCCACCACAGACCCCCCGCCACCCCTATCCCACCCCACCCCACCCCACCCCTGCACAGAGCTGGCCAGTATTTACTAGGAAGGCGGATCTTGAGGTACAATAAAAAGCCGAGAGAAGCTTCTAGATAGGAATGTTGCGGCCCCAGGCTGGAAGCAGCTGGCTGTGGAAGCTGCAGCAGCCCAGCCGGGGCCTCTTCGGGCTGCCCACTCTGTTGGCAGGTAGGGTAGCAGTGTAGAAGGGCCAGCTCCAAGACAGCAGCCCGAAGGTCTTTGTTTCTGATTCAGAGACTTTTACTTCAGTGATCTCGGCTGGAAAGCAAGTATTTTGTTTATTATTGTTTTTGCATAGACCCTAACTATGGAGCCCTGGCTGATCTAAAACTCACTATAGAGACCAAGCTGGGCTCGAATTTACTGTAATTCTCCTGCCTCTGCCTCCTAAGGGCTGAGATTACAGGATGTCTCACAATACTTGGCATAGGAAACTGTGTGTGAGCTTGCATGTGCGAGGGCATGCATGTATGTGCATGTGAGTTTGTGTATGGGCATGCATGTGGACATGTGTGAGCGTGTATATGGCGGCTTGTATGTGTGGAGGCCATGTGATAGGCTTGGCTGTCATTTATCAGGTGCTCTCTCCTTTTCTTTTCTTTTTTTTTTTTTTTGAGACAGGATCTTTCACTGCTCTGGACTAATCACATAGTCTGGATTGGCCAGTGAGCCCACAGGACCCCCCTGTCTCTGCCTTCCCAGCATTGGGATCAGGTGTGAACCATTACCTATGCCCAGCCTTTTTACATGGGTGATGGGGATCAAAGTCATTTCATGCCAGTTCCCCAAATGCCATTTGTTTAAGTGATCATTTACAAGGTCTTATAACTTGGATTTGGATGTTCTTGGCTCCCTGCCCTGAGGAAGGGGGACATGGCAAGTGGCATGAACCAGTCTAGAGAGGTGTAGTATGCTTTCTGCAGTGCTCTGTTCCTCCCTCCTCACAGGACCAGCCCTGAGGACCCTTCATAACCCCTTTTCCATGGGCCCTATTGGATTTTTCCTTTCTGTTTTTCCCTGGGGTCTCCTGATCACTGTCAGTAACTCAGGCTGCCTGGCCACACCTTGTACTTTTTTCTGCCCCTCCCCCAGTGTTGGGGTATGCAGATATGTCCCCCAGAAAGAGTCTGAGGATAGCATCTTTTTTTTTTTTTCCCCCAAGACAGGGTTTCTCAGTGTAGCTTTGTAGAACAGGCTGGTCTTGAACTCACAGACGCTTGTGTCTGCCTCCCGAGTGCTGGCATTAAAGGTGTGCCACCACTGCCTGGCTTCGTGTTGGCATCTTAACTGAGCATGCTGTTAAATACTGTTAGACCTTAGTGGTCCCTGGTCCCAGTTCCTGGTTGCTCTCTGAAGTCACCTGTACCTTTTGCTTTGGCCCCATAGGAGTAGGCAACCAAAGGTCCACTCAGGAGAAGCCACACCAAGAAAGTTCCAGGGGCAGAGTTGTCTGGGAGAGACAATTCACATTATGGGGTAGGACAGAGGATAGGAAACAATCCTGGAAGGCTGCATAACGGAGGTGGCAGCCCCCAGCGGCTTCTTCAAGTGGGTTTGTGCCCAGTGAGCACATCTGCAGCTTGGAGGGCTTGGAAACCTGAGTGATATCACAGTATGGTGTGGCTAGGACATCTGGGTCACGGGTGTGGGTCAGTACTTGGTGAGGGCTGGGACACTGACCTGGGGCCTGGAAGGGGCTGGTGATGTGTTGATCTAACTGTAGGCAGGCTGGGGCCAGGGGTAGGGAGAGCTGGGGCTTTGGGCTGGCAGAGCCTGATGTTCCAGAGCTGTGTCCTGGGTGTCCTGCCTCCCCATAATAGTGAGCCTTGTCTACATTGGAAAAGCTGTTAAAACTAAGCTAGCCCTCCTGAGCTTCCTTATTTCCTGAGTGTAAACGACATAGCTCCTTGTGTTGTCCCGGATCAGGAGGGGCCTGTGTGGCCTATACACACTGTGGGCAGTGGATTTCTTGACTCTTGTAGCCTGGGCTTGCCCTGCAGCTCACCTTTTCTCTTCCAAGCCTCTGCCAGTGACTAATGCAGGTTCTATCTGAGCCGTCTGCACTGCCAGGTTTTTTGTTGCAAATTATTTCCTTCATTGGGCCAGTGTGCTTAGATTTTTAGCCATGGCGGGGAAACAGACCTTGAGTCAAACTAGGTCCTCAAAAGCTGAGGGTCACAGTGACTGAGACCACAGCAGGAAGCCAAGGGCGTGGCCAGCCTGGCATCTGCAGGAGGCGCCAGCCCTGGCCTGGGCCCGCTGGTGTACACGGTCTCTCAAGTGCTGGTTTTCTGCCACCCTACGAGTTGGGCCTGTGAAGTCTCATGTGGAAGAAGAGATTTCTTGTTACCATTTTTTTTGTACTTACTAAATGTGATAGAATGAACAGACATCACTTTTATAAGCAGAGAAACCACTAAGGAATATTTTTTTTTCAAAGTCAAGAAAGAGAGTAAATAAAGCCAGGTCTGCTGGCACACACTTGTAATCTTAGCACTTGGGAGGTGGAAGCTGGAGGCTCAGTGGGTCAGAGTCAGGGCTGGAGCCGTGGCTCAGTGGTTAAGAGCACTTGTTGCTCTTGCAGAGGACCCTGGTTCAATTCCCAGTATCCACATGGTGGCTCACAACTATAACTCCAGTTCCGGGGATCCAGCGCCCCCTTCTGGCCTGCTTGGGTACAAGGCACTCGCAGGGCACACATGTACACCTAGACAAAACACTCAAAAACATCAAATAAAAGAAAATCAGTAAAACCCCTGCCCACCATGGACTTCTCCTCCTGCTGGGTCTGACTGTTTTAGAGGAAGTGGTCGGTACTGCTCAGGGAATGGCTCAAGTGCTCAGTTTGGTCTGAGTAGGGCACCTGCCTGTGTCCTCCAGCTGCCAAAACAAGTTTCCACAAACGGGTGGGGTAACGTCATACAAATGTGTTTTCTCCCAGTCCTGGGCCACAAGTGTGCTCAGCATTGCTGGGGATGTGTAGTGCTGTCCTTTCCAAGGCTTACAGGGAGCCTCTCCCTACCCCGCCACCTGTGTGGGACTCCAAGTGTCCCTTGGCTTTTGTCCACGTCATTCCAGCCTTATGGCAGTGTCTTCCACGTGCTTTGATCTGTCTTCACTTCCTTCCCTATGTGTGGCAAACTTCCTCTCATTTTAAAACAACCCTCCCCCAAAAAGAAACGGTTGGACAGGAAGCTATTGAAGAGAGTCCTTAAGAACTGTGATAAAGATGCCGACGTGTGGCCCCTAAGTTGATGGTTCTTGGTGGGGGTGGAGAACTCAATTTTCTTTCTTTCTTTCTTTCTTTCTTTCTTTCTTTCTTTCTTTCTTTCTTTCTTTCTTTCTTTCTATCTTTTTTTTTTGAGACAGGGTTTCTCTGTGTAGCTTTGGAGCCTATCCTGGAACTCGCTCTGGAGACCAGGCTGGCCTGGAACTCACAGAGATCCCCCTGCCTCTGCCTCCCAAGTGCTGGGATCAAAGGCAAGCGCCACACTGCCTGGCAAGACTCGGGTTTCTGTAAGGGTTGCCCCTGGGAGTTTGACCATGCTCGGTGAGGGTATGGGCAACACAAATTAGACTTGGTATTTTACTTTATTTTGCGGGGGAGGGGGGCAAAGGTGGGAGGATGGATTGGGGAGGAATGGAAAGTGACTGTGACTGGAGTGCATAGTATGAAATTGCCAAGAAATTAATAAAAATATTATGTTGGGGAAACACAAATTCTTATTGAGATTTTTGTAACATGTACACCGTTATTCACCCCCCACCGTCTCCTCCCCTTAGCTCCTCCCAGACATATCCTCTGCCTCCCACACTCCCAACTGAATGGGTTCACTCTCTTTTTTATTAAATAACCCACCAACTCCAGTTTTTGCTGCCCACCTACCTACCTCGGCTTGAGGCACCATCCACTGGCACACTGTTGGCCTACCAGGAGCCACGCCCTTTAGAAAAACTGACTCTCCACCCATCACCTGTCACAGTTCCTCAGTTCCGGGGTAGGAGGCTCATGGCGCCCTCCCTCCCGGTGCTGGACATGTTGGTTTGATTCTAGAAGGGGAGGCAATCGAAGCTGCTGTAAGCTCATGGGTGCATTGTCCTCTTGTGTCCAGGAGACGCTGTTAGGACCCGTCCTCTCCCACCTCCTTCCATCTTCTCACCGATTCCTGGTCCCTGAGCCTGGGGGGGGGGGTAAATATCCATTTGCAGCTGAGCTCATCTTACTCTCTTAATTGAACCAGCTGTGAGTTTCTGTGTTAACCACTGTCTACCGCACGGAAAGCACTTCTCTGATGAATTCTTCTTTCTATAAAGTTTTTTAAACTATTTTTACATTTATTTACTGTGTGTTGGGAGTGTGAGTGCTACCGAGTATGTATGGAGGTCAGAGGTCAGATGGGGGTGGCCAGTACCCTTCCCACAAGAAGCCATCTTGCTGCCCCCCAACTTTTGTCTCACCAAAATGACGTTGAACTCCTGATCCTCCTGCCTCCACCTCCCAGTGCTGGGTTCACTCGTGTGCGGTAAAGAACCTGGCTTATGTGGCGCTGGTTGTGGAGTTCTGTGTCTGTGAGGCAAGCATACGTCCAACTCAGCCCCAGCCCCAGCCCCAAATGCCCCCCTTAAAGACATATATGCTGTTGCCTTTTGGGCCACCCGAGTGATCCAGACAACATCTTCATCTGAAGCCCCCTTCCTAACAAGGCCTCAGTCATGGGTTCTAGAATGTGAATTCTTAGGGGACCATCGGTCAACTCTTCCAGTGCCCGAGTCTTTTTCCACTGAGGCACTGACCCCAGCTCTCTCACGGTGACGGCTGCCCTTTGAGGCTCCTCTCCTTGCTCCCTGGCAGGGACATTTGGCTTGTTGTCTCCCAGGAGGCTAGGGATGTTCTGTACATTCCCACAAGAAGATGCCTTACTGTCTAGGGGAGGGCATTTGGGGTCCTGCCCCAGACAGGGAGGGAGGGGCCTGGAGTTGCATCTTGGGCCTGGGGGTGCTTTAGCTATGGGACAGTGAGGGAGGGTCTACAAACTCTCAAGGAGCCCTGGGGACCTAAGAACAGTGGACAGTATATGGCTTATCTGAAGGCTGTGACATTTGGGCTACGAGCACCCAGTGGCCAGGCATGAATGCTTTCCCAGGCTTGCCACGTGCCCTTTCTTTTTCAAGAGAGACCATCAAAGGCTTACAGCCCTTATATAGAGTCACTATGGAATAAAACCAAAATGATGGAAATGTACTTTAAGGCCATCCAGTGGTGAAACACGCCTTTAATCCCAGACTCAGGAGGCAGAGACAGGCAGATCTTAGTGGGTTCGGTGCCAGCCTGGTCTACAAATTGAGTTCCAGGATGGCCAGGACTGTCACGAAGAGAAACACTGTCTCAAAAAACTGAGAGAGCCTTTTTCCTCTCTGGCGGACTGAAGGAAAGATGGGTCACCAGCAGCTCTACTGGAGTCACCCGCATAAGTTTGGCCAAGACTCTCGATCTCGCTGAGTCTGCTGTAACCGCCACGGTTTGATCCGAAAATACGGGCTGAAGTTGTGCTGTCAGTGCTTGCGTCAATACAAGAAGGACATAGGCTTCATTAAGTTGGACTAAGCAACCTTGAATGGATTATTCAAGACTGTCTACCCAGTGACACAGATCATGCTAGTCTTTGCACATAAAGAATAAAAAAAAATGGAGACCTTAAAAAAAAGCTGAGAGAGAGAGAGAGAGAGAGAGAGAGAGAGAGAGAGAGAGAGAGAGACTGAAAGTCTAAGTGAGGCAGGGTGACACATGCCCTAATGAAAACCGCTAGGATCTCCACAAGTTCAAGGCCAGCCTGATTTACTTAGAATTCCAGTCCCTGGTCTCAAAATACCAACAAAACCCAACACAATAAAGAGACACTGTTTTCACAGAAACCACGACACAGATACATGTTTTCTTTAAGTAGACACTGGACAGCAAAGCCCTACTTTCCACCAGGTTTGAGTGATCTTTTGGTACAAGGATGCCCCACACCCTGGGGCCCTTCCCCCAAGCCCTCCTTCTTGTACTGCTGAGCCCATCAACCCAGCCAGGGCTCTGAGCAGGTGCTGAGGGCTCCTCCTACCCTTTCCAGGTGAGCAGCCCCTGGACCAGGTGTCCTTCAGGAAATAGAGCTGAGCCCTGGGGCCAGCCATGTTCTCAGAGAGCCGCTGAGTCTGGGGAAATTGCAGCCGGAGGACGCATTCCCTCCCTAGGGACCTCTGAGACTTACTGACTCATATGTATGGGGTGGGAATCTTCCAGGAAGCCTCCAGCCAGCTCAGCCTCTCGGGAGGGAGCGTGGGGTGGGGACAGTCTGTCCCTCTGGTGCTGGAGCTAACAGGACAAGGGGACCTTTTTTAGGGTTTGTCTTGGGCAGGTATCTGGAACCTTCTCTCAGCCCTCCTGTCTGGGAGGTGACCACCGCCTGCCCAGATAGGTTGCATGTGGTGGGGTTGAGATCTGGACCTTCCCAGTAAGGTGAGGCAGGCACGCAGGACATAGGCTTTTTAAATGTTTAAAAGCCAAGAAAATCACAGCAGCACTAGACGGGAGGAAAATGAAAGACTTTGCAAGTGGCCAGGAATTTGACTCTAGGAGTTGGTTTCCAAGAGCCTAAGTTAGGCATCTCCAAGTGGATATTAAAAGGGAACAGCCAGGCTCCAGAGGCGGGGGCTGGAGGGGGCGGAGAGAGGAGGCGCCGGAAGCTGCACGCTGGACACCACACTGAGGGCCAGGCAGCTGGTCCTGCGCTCAGGGAGAGGACCCAGGGACTCCCTAGGATCCCATCGAGCCCCCACCCCCCCATTTTTCAACTTTTCTCCTTGTGCTCCCTATTCCCCTCTGTGTGGCAGAGACAATGCTACTTCAGTTTGGAGCAGAGACATATGACCAACACATGGAAATGTGGTAATTTGGATCTGTTCGTGATTGCAACAGATTGAAGAAATTAGACCAGACAAAGAGTGTTTTTAGAGGAAGAGGAGGAGGCAGAGAGAGGGAGGTTGACAGGGTGAGAAAGGGGAGGAGGACCCCTCCCTCCGCGCAGGGGACACCGGCATCCTGTCTGCCTGCTGTAAATACATCCGTAGGAATGGAGAGAGATCGCATCACAGGTAGGCCACAGCCCTCCTCTTCCCAAATCCCCCATCCCTGAACCCGACCCATGTCCAACTGGTGGCTTTCACCGATGCCTCAGGAAGTAGGCACCCAGGGTCAAGTTCACTTACTTTTACAGAACTATTTCCTTTTTCTGCTGACTGTTCCACGTTGTGCCAGCTGGAATGCTGCTTTCCACTAAGCCCTGCCGAGTCTGGCTTTTATTTAAACTGGGTTTCTCCTCCTGTGCTATTTCTCTTTCATTTTCCGGCAGGCTGCTTTTACGTCTGTGACCACTGTGAACTTAGAGACTCAGGAAGGGTGGATGGTGGGGACAGGCTCTGCACCAGGGCCAAGGTGGCCTGGCTTGTTTGCCCATCATCTGGCCTTGGTCTTCTCCTGAAATAGCCTTGCTGGGCCTCTTGGGAAGTTGATTATAGAGGTGGTGGCTCCCAGTGCTTGGAGGAGGTGTAAGCACACATGTGCACCCTCGAGAGAGAGAGAGAGTGTGTGTGTGTGTGTGTGTGTGTGTGTGTGTTCACAGGGCCCGAGTGCATGCCTGTGAGTGTATATGTGGCCATGTACTCCTGCGGTCCCCTTGGATCCAGAGGAGACCCAGCAGGGGATAGACAGTTCAAGGGAGAGAACAAGTCTCCCTTTCCTTAGCCATCCCAGTCAAGTTGTTCCCAGGTTAAGCTGCCTGTTCCTGCTGGGACTGTCAGTGTCTGAGGTCATTACTGCCTCCTCTGCCTTGGGCACCATCTGAGTCACAGGCTGCGGGATGGTGTGGGTGGGGAATTCTAGGGATGTGACCCTTACTCTAGACTGGTGTTCTGTGGTCATGATAAAAGGCTAAACCCCACCCAAAAGTGTCATTTGGCTCCGGGCTGTTGGTTGTTTCTGAGTCCATGGACGGGGGTCTCTGAGACAGAGAGAGAAGGAAAGCGGGTCTCAGGGGCTCCTCTGAGGGATGGCCGGACCCCACCAATCCCAATACTCGATACTGTGATTTTCTGATGTCATATCAAAACTGGCCAGGCATTCACTAGGAGGCAGCCACCTGGTGCCTGGCTGATGGCAGTGTGTCCTGTGACCCTGAGGGGCACAACAGAAGACCCGGGAGGGGAAACAAACCTGCGTTGGTTGAGCTTGGCATCATGACCAGCTGGAGGTGATGGGTATAGAGGTAAAGTTTTCTGTGCCTAGTTTGCGGGGGTGGCATGGCTGAGAATGCCACCCACTGCTTCTGAGGCCTGGACAGGTGATGTTGTGTCCCCCATAGGCAGCCTGGCCCTGCCACCTCCTCTGTCACCAGCTGTAAATGGCAGTTGTTTTAGTGGCTGCCTGGCTGGCTGGCTGGGGCCTGCACTTACTTTGTATGGCTGTGCTGGGTTGTAAGGTTCAGGGCCTCCTGAACACTAGGCTTTTACTCAGCCCGAGCCACACCTCCCCTGAGCCCAGCCTTCATTCTGTAGATGACAAGGCATAGCCTAGGTGGGTGACAGCCAGGTATTTGAGATCCTTGCCTAAAGGGGAGGTGGCTCCCTGGAGACCCAAGAGTGAAAGCTTGGAGCCTCACGGGCTGACCAGAGCTTTTTATCCACGGGACAAAGCAGCCTTTGAGAGCCATGGATCCTGGCCTTCTCTATCCAGCCATTACTAGTGTCCTCGGCTGGGGACAGCGCAGCACCAGACCAGAGCGGGACCTTCTCCTTTCGTTTGTTTTGAGACAGGTTACCTGGCCTCAGATTCCCTGTGTAGCCCTGAATGGTATTGAACTCCGGATCCTCCTGCCTCTAGCACTGGGGTGCTGGGATGACAACCCTGTCACACCGTGTTTGCATGCCACTGGGGAAGGGACCAGGGCATCGTGCACACCAGGCAGGCACTACCAATGAGCTACACCCCCCACCCCGGGGGACCTTCTCTTAGGGTGGGGCCAGGGCCAAGGTCAGCCCTTCCCTCCCTTCCTTTCTGGGGAGACTGTAAATGGAATCCAGGGCCTCAGTCATTGCAGTCAAGCTCCACAACTGCCCAGCCATTTGTCTATGTCTTTTCATTTTGAGGTGTAGTCTTGCTATGTGCCCCAGGCTGGTCTCAAATTCATGGTCTTCCTGCTTTAGCCTCCTGAGTGTCTGAGGTACAGGCACAGGCCACCATGCTAGGTGTGACTGGCTAAATTTAGGGGAAAAACAAACAAACAAAAAAAAACCAAACCACTCCATTTGGATGTTCTTTTATAAAACTACCCCACCCCCCAGTTCAGCTGTGAATAAATAGCCAGACTAGGAGGGAAGAGGAAAATCCCCACCGCTCCTCCCTCGTGTGTTCCTCAGCCGGGCTAATTAAAGCTAATTCATTGGAGTCAGTTGTAGCCCTAATCCTAACCCCAGTCCCTGGGGATGTAAAGCCCTTGTCCTGTCCCTGCTGGGTGGCTTCGAGGTTTGGCCTCAGTTTCCTTATCTTCAGAGTGAGGCTCAGCCCCGCCCGCTTCAGGGTGCTTCTGAGTTCTTGGTGTGCCTTTGGCTGGCTCCCCACTTCCAGCTGGGTGTGCTGGACCCTGCCTGCCTTTTGTCTCAGTGTCAGGTGGTATGACAGCTGTGTCCTTCCTCACTTGCACTTTAGTAGGCGGTGGAGTAGGGGGACACTTGTACACTCTCATGGATGGAGACCAGGCTGGCTGATGCCCCCAGGGCTGGTGGCCGAAGAGTGACCAGCCTTGCTGTCCAGGAGGCGTGGCAGAAGGTGTGGTCTTGCCCTGGTTGGAGCCTGCCCAGCCTCAGAGAAGAGGCTCAGGGCCAGAGTTGGCATCCTTGCCCTCCCTCTCCTGCTTGTGAGGCTGGCCCAGGGTCCTCCTCAGCTCTCGGAGATTTCCCTAGGCAAATGCCTCGGGCTCCTCAGCAGGGCTGGCATGAGTCACTGAGCAGGG